AAATAAGAAACCACCCCACAGCAGATTCATTTAGAAGAAAGGAGATATCATCTGTTTATATCATCTGGTAGGCCTGGTAGCAGATAAAGTTTTAGATTATAGTTTTTAATTCTGAATTTTCACGTTTCATATTTTAGCACATGATGATTCGCTATTGTGATATTTAAAAAGAGTTCCTCGTTAAATTTTCTTTGTGGGTTGACATTTTTTTTTATGGGTGAGACATTGCAGGGAAGGAGATTGAGGTTTGCTTGGGTTCCCATGCTCTTTCCACTGCTGGTGACCAGTTCATATCTTTCAAGGTAGATCCCCATCCCTATTTCTCTCGTGGTAGGCACTTTTTGCTTGTTTCTATTTGCCCTTATAACAGGACGTATTTCTATGAAATGGGACTGTGTGCATTATGACGTGAGCCCTGTTATGCATTTGTTCTTATGGGTCTCAGGGCTCACTTCTTAATACACGTAGTTCCGTTGGCATAGTTAATATGTCCAACTGCCCTTCTGCTATCACTCGTTTCCTCGGCGTCCCAACCTGCATTTCATTAATTTTGCTCAAGTTTTGATCAGTCAGGCTTGCAACGATTTAAAAGTCCTGGTTTAGGATCTGGTCTACTTACCTTTTTAACAGCAGTTTCTCTCTGAGCTGAGATAGGAGACTATGATGGCCTAGATCTCCATACGATATGGTTTTTTTGTTATGAAATCTTCATTCCGAGAAAGGATTCTTTTGGCATATTTTTTCATCACTAATTAATAATCTAATGCAATCGATGCATTGATGATAATGATGTCTATATAGTGAGGTTCATTATGTATAGTATATGAGGGATGAAATTGTAAATGGATGATTTTTTAACACCTCCCTCCTTGAATGCTTTTTTGATGCTGGTTTCTATCCTGTGACAAGGAAATAAAAAACCTAAGATTGTCATTGACTATCTTTTAACATGTAAAAAAAATGTCTCACAGTTTTCATTGACCCTCCCCCCCCCCTTCTGGAGCATTTCATATTTTATGAACGGCCCCTACTTATGCAACTGATTTGCAAATTGTCCATTGTTTTCTTTTCCTTTGCTGTAAAATGGCAGCTTTTTTTATCGTTGATGGTGCTTTGTAGAATTTGCGCCATGATGACCCTGTTTTTTTGAACGTGGCATTTGTTGAATTCGTTTTTATTTTTGTTTTTTTTTTATATATTAAGTACACTCTGTTTTAACGCTAGTCATGTGTTATTTGTTTTTAACCAGTGCCAGCATTACAAACCCAACTTTGTTCACGTCTAATTCGGTTTCCTCTCAGAAGCACAGAGTGACAACAAATAGCAGTGGAAATCGGAATGTCATTGGCCGTGAGGAAATAGAAAAAAAAATCGAATGCTACAAATGTGGGGAGAAATTCAGTTCAAAGGCCGAAATTTATCAGCACTGGATTAAACATGTGAAAGATAGTATTTTGCGCAGCAATGTACAACAGGCTTCAGCTAACAATATTGAGAAAAACCTCCGGGAAAATTCTCATAATTTACCGGATGTCTGTCCTAAATTGACCGATTTGAAGCGGTCACCAAAGTCTCCATCTGGAAGTTCTCAGTTAGAGTCCATTCCAAGGAAAAATATTTTACATGCTTCTCAGTCTTCTCAGACTCAGGTTGCTCCAATTGTTCAAAGTCATTTGATTGTGAACCCTATTAAAAATAAGAGGTCAGCCGTAGATAGACGTAGTTCCTCCAATTTGCCATTCAAATGTAGTGTGTGCTCACTTGTTTTTAGAAACCGCACCAACCTCTCAAAACACTTACAAAAACACACCAGAACGTTAAAGTGCTCCACTTGTAGTATCAGTTTCAAAACTGTAGCAGGATTACAAAAGCATCAGAAGATAAAACATCCAGCAGCGCACTCTGTTGAAAAACACTTCAATTGTCCAAAGTGCCCCTCAAGTTTCAAAAATGATGTGAGTCTTCAGAAGCATTTAGTGTCACATTCTCATGACAAACCATTCAAATGCAATTTATGCCCCACTTTCTTTAAACGGAAAAGCGACATGAATTTTCACCTTGCCACCAAGCATTCTATTCAAAGATTCTTTTGCTCAGCTTGCAAGAAGCCTTTTCAGTTTAGGCGCGATCTGATCACTCACAGAAAAGAAGCTCATGCAACCTCTAAAATTTCTCTTAAGGAAAATGTTGCCAGAAACTGAAATTTTGACTGATATTATTTAAGGATAAAATTCAAAACATGGATTGGGTCAGAAAGAAAAATAGTTGGGATCATGTGAAAACAATGGAGCCTGCAGTGCAACAATTTAGTAAATAAATCTTTTTCATGATCTACGGCCATCATCAACATCACTCTTGTTGACTTTCGCTTCCTTATTTACCGCATAATTTTTTGAACACCGTGATCCGCCCTCTTTTGGACCTTTATGATTTATGAAAAGCTCCACATATCCCCATTAGCAATTTTCAAAATGGAATTTAAATGAACGCTCCTCAATCCTCAATCGTTCAGACACAGGGATGCATGAGCGCATCACGTTTCTGTTTCGGTATTGACAGTTTTAGGCAAGTTTTTGACAATAATGAGTGAAAGTAATGAAGACTTTAGTTTGAAAGGTGGACTTGGATCTAGTAAGATCAATGAACTGACTATTTATCAAACGTTTGATGCCTTTTGGATTGACTCTCTTGGATTTAAAATTTTTTGCAGAAAATTTTCATCGAGAATATCAACAAATTTTCAAACCAAAGAATTTATACCGCTTCCAGGCTATGACTCCGATGGCTGCTTGCTTTTTGCTTGTTATCAGTGCGGATTAAATTTCACGGATAAATTGACTTTCATAACGCATTGGTTACAGCATGTCAAAAAGGATCATCTTTCCCAAGGGAAAAAAGCGGAGCAGGTGAGAATTTATGAATGCAGCAGATGTAAATTTAAGTTCACCGAGAAGAGATTCCTAAAAGAGCACATAATGAATGTTTGTTTCAAAAAGCTCTACGCTGATCGATTATTAAAATGTAAATTGTGCGTTCTAACTTTCACTTCTTCGGCTGAACTTGTAAACCATCAATTGACAGCTCATAATATCGACAGGAGGCACATCTGCCCTCTTTGTGGACTCCGCAGTACTTCCAATTCCAATTTGCACAAACACATACGAAGCCATTCGGAATTAAGGCCCTTCAAGTGTGAGTCATGCGAAGCGACTTTTAAAACCAAAAGGACCTTACAGTTTCACAGTGCCACTCACACTGACGCGAGGCCATTCAAGTGTAACTTGTGCAGTGCAACTTTCAAGTTAAGGCACTATCTTAATGCTCATATGTACAAACATTCAACCGTCAGGAGTTACAAGTGCAGAAAGTGTGGAGCATGCTTTAAAAATCGTAAAACGCTGCAGCATCACATGGTCTTTCACTCGAATGAGAAGCCATATCAGTGTCACATTTGTCATAAGGCTTTCAAAAGGAAGCAGATCTTAAAGCTCCACCTACCAGTTCATTCAGATGAAAAACCTTTCACTTGTGATTTTTGCGATTATGCTGCTAAGCGATTAAGTTCTTTAAAGTTGCATAAGAAAAGAGTTCATTGCTATAATCATTAAAAAAAATCCTTCTCAAGTTCTTACTGTCTTGAAACAAGCCTGGATTCTTATGTTCTGATGTTTTTCAAAGGCATTTTTTGCATTGAATCCATTCCTCT